TGAATTATTGACTTGAATCAAAAAATCTACAGAAACCAATTTTATATTTTTTTGAAAATGAAAAAGGGTATTTACTATACTACGACCACAATTATCTGTAGTTTCATCCATAATAATTGCTACAGATTTATTCTCAAATAAAAGTTTAATTTGATCTAAATGTTTTTCAAAAACTTGAGGTAAGTATATTTGACGTAAAGTGAGTGCTTGAGGAATAAATCCTCCTTGTTTTATATGTTTTGAAAAAAAGGAAGAAGGGAATTCACTTTTCTAAGGGTATGTCAGCAACAGCAAAAGCATGAATTAAATCTTCTATTAATTCATTTTTGCTATTAGCATTTAAAATTGTTGAGGCAATTGTCCTCTGTTGTAAAACATTTCCATTGGTTTTTTGTTTGTTTTCATATTCTCTTTTTTTTGCACAATGCGTAACACCTTGAATATGATCTTTAATACTTGATTTTTTTTCCCACTTAACAGAATGGTTACAATATATGCAAAGTAAAAGACCATCATCAACTCTAAAATCATTAGAATATTCAGCCGCACGAGTATAAATGGTTACTTTACGAACCATTCTTTATTAATCATTAACCGTAAAACGGTTAATTCAAAAAAAAAAATTTATTGATAAAAAAATTTTTTCGATCTGACCAATTTTAATTGGTCGATATAATGTGACACACAATATCTGCGGCTTTCTGCTTAAAGCCGTCCCTGCAGTCTAGTTACAAAAAAGTGCCAGTGTTTAAATATGTTTAATAAACTGAAGTTCAAAGTTTTATATAAAACGGAAAATTGATAATTCACTTCGCTTTAAATGATCGCAAGGTTTTGTACATTCAAATATTATTGTACTGATATTTGAAAAATTTCAACATGTTCTGAATTTAAAATACTTTGAACTATTTATTAATTTAATAGAATTCAAATTGCCAAAATTAAAAAGTCATCAACCGCGCGAAAACGAAGTTTCTCGAGTCTATTTAAATAAAATTAGATGGTCGAGATTTATTGATGAGGAGAATTGACTTATTATCAGTTTAAATGGAACCTTCGCCAAACTCAAAATGTAAATGAAACTGAAAAGAAAGCAGGCGTTATCAGAGGAATTTAATAAAATCAAGGTGAGTTATAATTGAATTTTCTTATTAAATAATTTTTGATTCTTACAATACATCTGTTCTAACAGTTTTCCTTTTAGTTTTCGGATTCTAAGGATGATATATCAGAAAGCGAAACATACGGATTTATAATTGCGGAGTTTTATAAGAGGTTTCCTAATAGAAACTTGTTCAAAGTTAATTATTTTATTGAGTGAGGATAATCTTTTTAATGACGCAATCAAGGATTATGTATTACATAATTAAAGGTAAATACAGTGTAGAAATTAATGCTTTTTTATTTAATGTCATCAATACTCTAAAGTCTATGTCAAGTTTTGCGATTACTTCGTAAACTTGAATCTACTGAGGAGCAAATGGTATAATATGGATTATTATTTAAAATCTTTATATTTATATCTATCTTTTTTCTTTGCATTACTGTCTAAAAATTATAATTCTATCATTCATTTTTTTTTCATAGCAAACTATATTTGATCGTGCATAATATTCTTCTAAAGTATTAGGGGTACATTTGTAAGCAATGGAAACTTGCTCAAAAGAAGCAACCGAGATTTTTCCAAGATTACTTCAAATTTCGATGGATTCACCAAATTTTTGCGATATTGGATCAACCTATAGCTCGTTGAGTTTTTCCGATATTATATAAGGTATTAATTACTTTAATGATATTTAAAGACTGTTCCGTTCCTATGACTCGCACTTATATTTTTATAATTTGACAATATTATCTTGTGGAAGAATTCCCAAAAGCTTGTCATTAGCAGTGAATATTATAAATTTGATGAAAGTACTCCATTAGCTCGAGATTTTAAGACTTAAAGTTCAAGAATTGAAGCAATTAATAAAGTGCAATGTTACTGATTTATTTGTAACTGGGCTCCAAAGGCTCGCAGATTTTGAAACATATTTCCAAAAATGGGCATGGACAGTTTATGTATGTATAAAGTTAAAGAGATATCTCAATTAGAATTTCCAACTTGATATATTTCACTTATTTCTATAACTCAAAATAATTCAAAGATCAAAATCCTAAAATTAATTCAAGCATCAAAAAACAAAAGTAAAGTGAAAGAATCGAAAATGTCCAACAACTCTAGCAGAAAGGTTGAAAACTGTGGTTGGAACCTCGTATTAAACTAACTTTCGGAATGATTCAAACGGCGAAAAACCCTGGCTTGATATTATAGATGGAAATCTGTATAAGGGTTTTGTCGCACGCGCTATGGATCGGTTAGTTCGGATTTATGATGAAGACCGGGTATTTATATTGGAAAGATTACACCACATCCTGATGAGGTTACTGCAGATGTGACAATAAGACTTATGATATCATATTTAGTATTCACACAGATGCAATAAGATCATACAAGAATTGAAATTACAGAAGATTTTGTTAGGGTGGCAAAAATGGTTTTGGAAGAGGAACTTATTGATTTCGAAGAATTAATTACAAAATTTTATATGAATCATATACACAAGGAAAGGATTGTTTGACATCTCTAGAAGAGCATTTTAGCAAAGGAGCAAAGTTCTATAGCATAATCAATAATATATTTTTTTTAGCTTTGCAAAGCACATTTCATTACATTGATGCTGTTATTATGTTCAACATTTTTCACGAAAAACAAATTTTTTTTTTTTATCTTTTTTTTTTTTAATTTTTGAAAATTTAAATTTATAATAAAATATCACATTATTTATATATAATATAAGACATCTTCAATACTAACTTGATTATTCTTCGAGATTTTTTCCCACATTGAAAACAGATACCTTCAAATAAACCAGACGAATAATACATGTTAAGCTATTGTTAACTTTAACTTTTTCAAAAAAGGTTATTCACATCGTCACCTTTATAATCATTACTATTATCAGATTTCTTGTAAAGTCCATTTCCCATTTCATAAAATTCCCCTAATTTATATATTGCTTCTTTATTGTCATCGCCTGCAGCTTTATTGAACCAATATTTATGTCATCTATCATCACATCCTATAATTCTAATCCTTTTCTTTACTGATTTCCGTTCCAATTCCAATATCCAAGTATTAACTTTGCGTTTATTTATAATAGATTCAAGTTTACAGATTGATTTATTACTATGTTTTAAGTTTTCTGATGGCTTGCCTAATTGACTTTGTGATATTATTTAAGAACAATGATATTTAATTAATATCAGGAGTTAATTACTGTAATACAAAATAGAATTTTAATGAAATAATATAATATACCTTAAATCATTTATACCCTTATACGAATCCATATCCCAAGCTACGGTCGAATCTTTTCTGCAGCCTTTGCCATCACATTTATAGTAGCGTTATTAGGTTGAATAATTACACGATTGCTTGACTTGCTAGTAACAGTTGTCCACGCAGTATTCATAGAAATAGATTCGGGCTTCTATAAGTTTAACAATATTAATAAAAGAATTTATTTTATACAAAGCTTGATGCCATTTCCTGAGGCTACTGTACTACTACTGTATTTGCATAGCGTATCCCATACTATTTGTGGCAGCTTATCCAGCCCCAGAATTAGATCCAAATAAAACTTGTTGCGCATTTCACGTACCTGTTACGTTTTTCATTGCTCCTTCCTCTTTCTTTCTGAATTTCTCTAAGCGCTTTTTTTAGGAACAGAATTGTTAAACTACCATGCTAGTATACTAACAACAGGAGAAGTAAAAATGAGAAGACGAACTAAATTTGGACCAATGATTCCCCAAGAAGAGTTTGAGGGTGTTGATTCTTTCTTTGAAATCATATGATGGAATGAGTAGTAACCGTAGACGCAGCAGCTTTCGTTCAACGGCTTTACGAGCTTCCATTTCTTGAATTTCGCGTAGTGAAGGAGATTTGAGTATCATCTATGCCAACGGAATTGATGAATGAGTGACGGGTTTATTATTTCCCCATGATAATCCATTATTCTTAGTTTAACAATAGTTTTATTGGAAGTTTGTTGAGTAATGGAAGACAATTTTACGTTCCTTGCTTTTGTTTGCATTGTTCCCCTTCAGTCTGATGAGAGTTTTAAACGATACAATTCTTCCCATTTGAATAAATTTATTGGTAATGTTCTTTGAAGGTGTTTCAACTTTTGTTCGATCATTACCTTTTCATCCACTTTTGTTGAAAGTATCTCATCTCCGAGGAGAGGAATCATCATTTCCTTAACCTACTTCACCATAATATTTCTGAATAGGATAGGATCGAACTGTGCTCCTTACAACAAAATCATTATAGTACTAAAATTTCCAAGGCTTGAATATAATGCCAAAATTTTTTCTATTTTTGATTTTAATTTCATTTTATGAAATCAGAACGTTTACTATTTTGAGATCTAAAAGAAATTTACAATATGATCCAAATCCTTAATGGAATAAGCATCTGAAATTTGATAAGCAAAATCTTCTATGCCCCTTTCGCTTATAAATTCTTTCAGGATATTAAAGTAATAAAGATATCCTTGGCAGCGTTTGTAACTTATAGTTACTTTAATTATTTATCATAGATTCAACCACATCATTAATTTTATGATCAATGGATGGATCTTGACTATTTTCATCCATAATTTCATATTGTCTCGACTAGAAATCTGATCAATGTGATGATTTTTGTTATCCAATATGCTTTCTTTTCTCATACCGAAATATCTAAACACATCTGATTGTGTAACATGCGAAGAATTGGATCGATGCCAATGATGATAAGTGAGTTGGCTGTTCAGTAGGCGTTGTCGGCCAACCTGCAGAGATCATTAAAGCGTCAATAAACGGAGCATTTGTAATAGGAGCAGATACAGGCCAGATAACTTTGTTGTTGCCTAATAAAGTGTTCGGATAAGCATGCTGACTTTGTTGTAATTTTCTGTTGGAGCATCATATATATTGGCAATCAATCTGTAAAGATAGTGCTCGAGATAACTTTGATTAAAGGAAGCTAAATAGAGGTGGTAAATTAGGAGCTTACACACGAGGAGACAAATTTTCGTTGATAGATGTGAACCCGTCTGTTCGTCCCACGCATTATTTTTGAGTTCAGATCTCCTCATTAGAAATGGCATTTCGCCCAAAATGCTACCAAATTGATATCTATCAAATGGTGTATTATGCACCAAAGTCGTTTCACCAAAAGTATTAAATCGTTGTTGATTATTATCCAAAACAACTGTACTGTACTGGGCGAATTAGAAGCAACTCAAGTTCTTTGAAATAGATCATTAACCAAACGTGATAAATTGTTAGGCATTTAAACCAGGTATTAGTGCAAGAAAAAAGCCTTCCGTCATTCGTATCAAATCACCTAAAGGTTCGAACATAGTATCATCAACCCTTAAAAGACTATGAACAGAAAATTCACCCTTATAATATTCATTCATTTCCTGACAACTAGATGATTTTATTAAATATGAACATTACTGTGGAAAAATTAAAAAACAGCTAAAAATGATTTAAAATTTTAAAACACACCTTGAATATTATTACTACTTGGATCACGGTTCAAACATTTATATTGCTCGGGTGTCACACTTCTTGGTTCAGCATTTATTCCTGTATAAAAATAATGACTTGCAACCCCAGAATTGCTTTCACCCAGTGCCAATATTTGAATTTGCAGATTTTTTTTCTGGATCGACAGCGTTAAGTATTGAATAAGGTCTGAATTAATAGTTAACATAATGATATCTTTTCCAGAAGTAATTACATTATGACTCTGACACAAAAAATTTCTACAAATTGATCACCTTTAAAAGATCAGCATCATCATTATGCAAAGCTATTTTGATAATGATTCAAGAACCATGATGAAAGTATTCTGAACAATATGTGATATTATATCTACTACCTGAGCATGTTTATAAAGTTTTACCAATATAACAATCGATATATCCAGTATTAGGTTTTGATGCAGCAAAGATTTCATTAAGCAGCGATAGAATATTAATCGCATCATTATGCCTTGAAAAATCCATTAGCAAAGACAAGAACATTTGAATTTAGATTTTCCAAAGAGTTGTAATTTCTGCATTATTGAATTTTTGTTTATAGTAACAAGTGATAGGGACCAACAATTACATAGCTACAGATTTGGAATGTCTGAAATTAAGAAATGTCAATAAACTAAAAAAAAAAATAATGAGTTAGCATTTGTTTGTCCAAGGTATAAAATAACCTTTTTATTGAATATATTCTAAAAACCAGTTTTTTTTTCACAGATCAACAATTGTAGATATCGATTTAAAGTATGTTATGTTACACTTGATATTACATTTATAACAATCGTTTTATCAAATTTATTAAAGCGATTTTTTTCAAAATTAAACAGTAATAAACAATATATATTTAGTAAATTAAATTCATATCTCAATTTCCTTTAACAATTTAATAATTTTCTCGCATTGACAAAGAAAAAAAAAAAAAATTTCTTTTATAATAATAATTATAAAGACTATATAGAAGTGGGAAAATAAATAAATAAATATGTAAATAAATAAAGTAGTTCATAATTTCTATTTCCTCCATTAAATTAAATTAAATATGTTATTTAAAATATTTTTCTTTGTTTTATGATAAATATTTTATTTTTTATTTAAATTGTTATGCTTTTTAAACAATTATTTCTGTTTTTTTTTAAATGTTATAAAACGTTATATAAATGACACAAAATTATCTTTAAGATTATATAGGGTTTAAATATTTTTGAAGCTTATAATTTCAAGCAGTTATTTTGTGAATTATCTAACCATTTTAATATAACTTTCTTTATCCAATTTTCATTTTTTCTTTATGGAGAATATTACCTAGTTCTCAAATGCAGCAAAATGCTTGCAGGAATATTTAAAGGATATTCTTCCTTTCATTTAGCAGTTGGATAATTTTTTTACAAGTAGAAATGATAAAAGTCAATAATATATTTAATTTTATATTTTCTACATATTCATCTTTGACCTTCTGTAAAGGTTTATTATTATGCTTATATATCATTTTATTAGAATAATAAGTAAAATTGAAAATTTTATGAAAGGATTTATATTATAGGATAGCTTTTATGATTTTTATGATGAAATTTTTATCTTTTGTTATAAACAGTTCTTTTTATAATGAAAATTCTTCATAAAAATAATAAACAAACTTGTTAATTAAATGTAATATTAAAAAAAGCGTTAAATAGATTCTTTGTAATTATAATAAACCTTTAATGATAAACATTCTTCATATAAAAGCAGAATAGAAATATGGTAATTTATAAATTTGTTACAATATATAAACGAATAGTTGGTTGATATATTATATTATTTATTATTTCCTTATTAAGAAAATCTCTGGTTCATAAATAATATTTAAATTTTAGAATAAAAAATCTAGACCTTTTTATATAATGTATAAAATATATGTTATTTTGATTTTTAGGCTGAAATATATTTTAATTTATTTTTTGATTTTTCTGGCAGTTTCCCCTTTTTATATTATAAAGGCTCCATCCCATCCATATATTCTAAAAAAAAAATTTAAAAAATTTTAATATGATATATGATTGAGTAAGTAATACATTAAATAAATAAATATAAAGATAAAAAAAGTGATCATAATTGAAAAATTTTGAACTTACTTCTTTTGTAATAAAACTTTTGATGTTTCTAAAAAAAAAACTTTTAAAAGAATAAATAATTCACCTAATAACAATAATTAAATAATTAAATTAATCATGTTTGATTTTTTTTATAAAAAAAATTTACTTGAGATTTGTTTTAAATTGTAAAAATAATTTATATATAAAAGTCTATATCAATACTGTATTATGATTTGAATGAATCAAAATCAATCAGTAATGATTATCTTTTATGTCATTTGTAAATAACAAATAAATTATATCATATCTTTTATCATTTCATCAAGTGAACCATAAAGTAGATGCAGTAATATTATTAAAATCACATTTTTTTTGAATCTTGCAGAAAGTAAATGTGATATTTATACATGAAGTCGAAATGGATCATTTCGGATATCCAAAATGGTCGAAATGGTCGAAATCATTTTGACCATTGAAGGCTAAAGTTGTGAAATAGTCAAAATGACGTCATATCACATGATTTTTTATATTTAGACAAAACAAAAACAAAAGATGTATGATTTCAGTCAATATCGCACCAATTCGTATGAAATAACTACCATTTGATTCCCTGCGATTAGACGGATCCAATGAACTAACATTCATTGATTTGAATCATCCAATCTCGAGATAATCATAATTGTATTATCGGTCAAAATTATGAATCAATAAATTCTACTTTAAATAAAGGAGTCCGGATTTCGAAATACGATCGCAAATATCTCAAGATGGGCTGATCCAAAATCAAAAAAAAACTCTTTCTCTCAAACGTCCAGTCCACTAAAAAAAATTGACAAAAAAATAAAAATATGCCAGTTACCAGAGCAATTACTTCCAAATTACAAACGAAAAATAACTATTAACGAAACAAAAGAAACATCACAGTTAATCAACCTGAAACTTCAAGTTCTTCTTCAAATACAACAGAAACAAACGAAAATAATATTTTACCAAAAAAACAAAAAATTTTAAC